AGTGAGAGCTTCTTGACTCTTGAGTTTGTTTTATGAGTTAAGAAGCTCAGCTTACACATGTTGATGTGAATCTTTTGTATTTCTCTTTCAATTTTGCTGTTTTTGGTATTTTACTAATTACTATATCAAATAATGATACAACAAAATACAAGTTTTAACATTCTCGGGATCCCGGCGGGCGGCGGACATGGCGTGTTTTGGTTGGATAAAAGTTATCAGGCGATGTCATTGATAATTTTTTTCTTCCAATTGAGTGATGATTTTGCTAAATAATTTAATTTGTATTAGTGAACTTTTCGCTCATATTTTTGGCATCTCAATTACTAAACACCGCACTCAAATACAAGCGTTTACACTAGGGGCGGTATCGTAATTAACTAATTCAAGTATGAACGCAACAAACCAATTGATTACGGTACCGCTCCTAGTGTGAACGCGCCGCTGTATAACTTCTGGACGTCGCCCGACTATACGTATTGTTCATCGGCTGGACTCCACTTATAAGTCGGCAGTCAGGAGTCTGGGGGATGATGATGATGATGATGATGATGATGACCATGATCATCATGATGACGACGACGAGCAGGCCTATGAGTCGGACTTTGATGCAGCTGAGCAGCCACAGCCACTGCCACAAGCCCAGCAACAGACACGTCCAGCTAAACGACTCGGACGAGTTGATCCTCCACGACAGGTTGGGGGCCGTTATACGGGCGCTGCCTCATCCTCAGGTAAATGATTTACGTATTTTTTGTTTTTTACCATTAGATATTATTTTATTTAATAATAGCGCATCATTGATACAATCAATCACAGTTTGTCGTATATATATTGATTGTTCTATTATAATACAGGGGCGAGCAGCAAACGCACTAACTGTGACGACTGACTTGTTAAAGCCCCAGTACCCGGTGGCCCCTTTGACGGGAGTGTTATCCCTAGTTTTCTAGGGCACGTAGCCTCCCGGATTCGGACTGGACATGTTAGAGGCACGTTGAAGTGCCAAAACAGGATGGCACCGAACGGTGTTTTGAGGGAGTGGCTCGTAAAGATGGCTGAGGCTCCGCGAGATCTGATCCGTCCGACCAGGCTGTCACATTTGGCGTCCAGCATGCATGACCAAGTCGACACTCTACTTATTTCAGCATTTGTGGAGCGCTGGCAGCCGGATACCAACTCGTTTCACCTGCCTTGTGGTGAAATGAGTATCATGCTGCACGACGTGAGGGCCATATTGGGGGTTCCTGTCGTCGGTGCGGTAGTCACAGGGGAACCCCACAGCTTGACACAACAAGCGCACTGCATGGAGCTCCTGGGGGTGGACCAGGCAACGCTGATGGCGAACTTTTGGGGTCACGGCTCGGTGATGAATGAAGCCGTTTTTACTGCGTTGGAGAAGAATGGCGCAGGTCGGTCGGCTGAGCATGTGGCGATTGGTTGGTTGTGGGTGCTGCTCGCTACCACCTTGTTTACAGACAAGAGTGGTAACAGGGTCAGTCCCAAAATCCTACACGAGATGATGGAGGACCTGCAGAGAGTTGGGACTTACTCGTGGGGCTCGGCCGCACTGGCATACCTATTCAGACATTTAGGTATGGCCAACAGGGGGGAGTCGGGGGGAGTGGCAGGCTGCTTGACTCTCATGCAATCTTGGATATACGAGTACTTCCCCACCTTCCGACCCGTCGGTTCGCGTATGGCCTCCGAGCCTGACAGCTTGGCCCGATCAGCCTTGTGGAGGACCCCCGTCCCAGATAACTCAGATAAGCGCCTCATGCATTTTCGTAGGCAGCTTGACAGACTCACAGCCGCCGAGGTACGTTAAGTTATTTTATTACATTTACTTGAAAGTTATTTAGAATACTTGAATTGTTTGAATAAATGTTTTATGCAATTGTGAACAGGTAAACTGGCTGCCATACGGCCCCAACCCACATTTGCTGGAGCCTAGGACCCTTTATTCCGAATGCCTTAGGTACCGGGATATTGTGGAGCCGTACATGCCTATGCGTTTCTTAAGTCAGTTGGGCTACGTCCAGACGATCCCCCCCCGCATGGATCGTCCGATCACTGTATTTCGTGGTTGGAAGTCTAGGATGTACATGGTTGAGCATGCAGCGGGTGCTGCAGTAGATCACTGGGATCAGTTCCCGCTACTGCATTCTGTACACTTGTCTGATTTTAGTCCCACTACCGCAGATGATCTAGGGGTGGCCCATGAGGACTACCAGCGATGGTATGAGCGTTATTCTCATCCTAGACTCTTGTCCGACAGTCAGGCGGACGACGAGGCTGTCCCTGCGCGCGCCAACATCGATTATGTAAGTCGTTTACTAAATTTTAGTTAGTATTCGTTCAGTACAATTTTTTTTTTATATATTTTAAATATGTGTATTTATTTTCCTTGTGCTTTGTGTAGTGGGTCGGACGGTTCATGTCCCTTTCATCAGATATGCATCGGGAGTTCGCGACAGTTTCTCCTGATATGGCGGCAATTTATGCAGAAAAATTGGCTCAGTTCAAGTTGGATTTCGACAGAGCGCAGTAGTGATGTAATAAATATTTATTTTTTTTCTTTTTTATATTTTGTTTTGGATTTTGTAACAAATTATTAGTAGATTTATTTATTTATTATCACAATATATCAAATTCTAGCTGCAGTACGAATATCAAGCCACAACTGGAACCTGCTCTGGTACTGATACGACCGATCTTCAACTGAAACACCTCAGTATTTCTCCCAAAAATAACACAAAGGCGGTAATGGAGAATCAGAACACAGATTCACATGAATGAAGTGCTTGTAGGAACCAAGATGACCTATGACGATCTCACAGTCAGGTCGTGTAGCCGTGGATGGTGCGCGGAGCTGGAATATCGTCATACTGGCCATGTTCATATTGTTATCCTTGGGACCATAGCCTAACAACACGACAACTGCATTAAATAGTGTAGCAATAGCAAAGAGGTCGCCCGTAGCATTCATCCAATGCTCCAGGCCACAAGGACCCCCGTCCCATCTTATACGATCGATTGCGACGTCGACCCCGTTCCAATAAAATGGAGCGTACAAATGAATGTTGGTTGCAACCTCATTTGCAAAATTTCGTCTTGCCACATCCCACTTCTGTTGATCCCTACAAATGTAACTCGCAACCACCTGGAATCCGCAGTTCCCGTCCGGCGTCACATCCAGATAACTCTGTGCGTAGCTGTGAAATACGTAGGGAATCCTACCACGATGTCTGTACTGAAAAAAATCCGTCTCGAAAGTATCTATAATATCAAAATAATTTCACGTCACAATTTAGGTAATTGAATTTACAAACATAATTAGTCATCGTTCAGATAAAAAATAAAATTAAATTACCTGTCGGATCTTGAGACGATGAGCTTGTCGGGGCACACGAACGAGTGCTTGTACAACCCACCAGACGACCTCTTTCCCTGTACTCCCACATCGACGGAGCACATGAAGAAGTGCTCTTACGCCCCGGCTGACGATCTGTTTCCGTGTACCCCGATTGCGATGGAGCACACAAAGAAGTGCTTTTACGCCCCGCCGTACGGCCTCTTTCACTATACTCCCATCTCGATGGATCGCGTTTTGTTGAATTTTTCTTCTTGGGCCGACCTCTCAGATTTTCCTTCACTGCAGGTTCTGTGTATCCCTGTTAATCAGGGTGAAGTTGAGAGTCAATGAGATGGTTCAGGTACCGTACAGTCGCAGGATCGGCCGCTTCAACCTCCTCGGCAAGCCTCCGAAAATAATCATGATCAGTCCATCCACTCGCTGATGCACTCTGCTGACCTGTCCGTACCGAAAATTTAAAGAATTATACAATATGTTCTATCAAAAATTCTATAAATGAAACAATACGTGGAGTTAAAAAAAAAATAAAAATTAGACACAATTTAGGAGAAAAAAAATGATGAGCATGATGTTCTATAGATTTATTAATCTCGCAATTATACCTGGCTGCGTCACCTCTAGTGTGCTCCAAAAGCTGTGGATGTCGTCGGGCATAATATCTCTACCTACAGTGTGTGCCTCCCTTAGCTCACAGGCACAAGGAAGTCCATGAGTGTATTTTAGTGCACAATCACAGCGCTCCGAAACATCTTTGCCGAAGTCTCGCATGTTCAAAACTCATCATTCAATATATCCATACAGTAATGCGAGACCCGCAGTGTCAACTGCTCGAAAGAGAATCCCTTGTAGCCCGTACTCAGCCTAAGTCTCGAATACTCCAGCGTCTCCCTGGTAATACATTACATAACATTAGACCCAATTAAAATTTACAATTAATGCATTAATAACACAGTCTTACTGTATAAATTAAAGAATATACTTGACTTTAATCAGTTGAGAATCAATCTCCTTGTCAATTTTCTCCAAAACCGTGTCGACCGAACCGGTCGACGTGTTAAGTCACCGCTTCAACGTAGCGTGGGAACGCTCCACCCTACACGACGTTGTGTTGCTAAAATATAAGACAGTGTCCGTCCACACTTTGACAAACTTCTCCTTGTGCACTAGCCATGTCTGATCCACATATTCCAGCACACGAGAAAGCACCGCGTATGTAACAGCCATATCAGTTACGGCTGTTTTGTATTTGTCCCACGTGTTCGCCTCGACAACCTTCTTCCACTTGCCGTGCGTGAACTTCTGCGCGAAGATCTTATTTTTATTTGTGCTTGTCGACGTTATTCGATAGACCCTGTCTTCCACATCCTTGTTGATGTGCCACGTGCAGAGTAAGTGGGGCGTCGTCGGGAAATTCATCTGAATAGGAGTAATCAACCCCAACTCCCTATCACTGACGATGACTGAAGGATGCACATCAGGCCCTATCAGAAGTCTCAACCGCTGTAGGACCCCAGTCATAGAAGCTGGCCAGCAACATCTCTACCCTCCAGACGGTCTTTTCGGAATTGGCCTCTATAGTTATACACTTGTCGGCAAGTAGCGTTGTCCACAGGGTTTTTCTCCTAAATTGCAGCAAAAATTACTCCCGGTCTTGCCTGAGTATCAGTTATATCACGGACAATCTCTTTGGATGAATCGCTGAGTCGGCTCATCTGTCGATGACCCTCGGCATGCACAACCAAAGCATGATTATGAAATCCCTTCTCGTCTTCTAAAAGAAGCCGGATACTTCATTTTTTGGAATCTGCTTCAAATTTGACTTTTATCAGAAAAGGGCAGCCAGTAAATTTAGTCTTCGAACGTCTCAAAACAGCATTCACAAAATTTCCTAGTTTTCCTGTCTTGCCTCTGTAACGTTCCCCTCGATGACACCTCAACGTCCGAACCATTCCATCTTTTTCGTGTCTCGAGATGACCAATTCGAAATTCCATATCATTGCAATGTCTTTTGCCCATTCAATAGTTTCCTCATGACTATCAAATAGCTCATCTGTTGCAAAACAAGATCGGTAATCTTCGCCGTCTCCTCCAAATCTTCGAGTGGCACCTGCAATATGTTACGATTTATGTTAATAATTTCACAAAATAATGAATTATAACTTCTCTCAAAATAATAATAGTAATTTGTAATTTATTATATAATCAATTTTAATTTCTAACGTAATATCAATAAATTTTACGTTATAAGATAATACATTCATATATTGTAATGCCCTGTCTAATTATAGAATATTTGGGAATTATTTGTCATTATTGTTATAATTATAATTATTATTATTACTATTATTATTATTATTATTATTATTAATTAATTGTATAATATGCGTAATGTATTTTTGTTATTAAAATTAATATTTTTAAAATAATGTGTGTAAATAAGTATTATATCCGGTTTATTTATGTTATCATGCGATTAAATTTTCGAGCCGAATCGATTTAAGGTTGCGTTTAGTCGAGCCCGTAAAATTGTAATCCGAACCCGCGACCCGTTACCTTTTGACTTGGTGACCAAGTTTTGGACTTAGGTTTATTATTTGTTTTATCGGAACCCTTTTCTCCCGTCTGATGGAACGCAGCTTTTCTCTTCTCCCTCATCGCCTCTCTCTCTCGCGATCGTACACAGAAGAAAAAATCCGCTGGAAATTATCTTCTCTTGCAACAAATTGATTAGATCCCCTCCCAATTCTCTCATATCCGTCCGTTAATCCCGACCTCAGTCTTCCTTCCGTCTCCGCTCTAGGGCAGAGAAATCCCTTCGCAGCTTTCACTCCCGCGTGCATCCTTCGCCGGAAAACTCCCGAGTAAACCTCGCCGGCGACAACAGGCAGGAGCAGTGACCCGGTGTCAGAAGTTGAAGCCGAAAACCACCATAGACGCACCAGGAGTTCTGTTCGCGTCGGACCATCCCTCAGCAGTCGCCGGCGATCCTCCACCGTCGCGCGACCCCTTCCGGCGAGCAGTAGGTTCCGTCGGATCGTCCACCGCGCCTGAGGTCTCGTCGCCCTTCGTTGGTAATTTCGCAGTGGCCCTTTCTTGTCCCAGCGCGAGCCACTGATCGCCCATTGGAATGGGGAAGTCATCGGTAGCCATCGAGCAGCCGCCATCGCCATTGGAGAAGCCGCCCCTGTTCATTTTTTTTGTCCTTTTTACCGCAGCCGTGTGTGGCTAGCAGCAAGCCCCGTTCTCAGCCAGGCGACCTTTGAGCATAGCAGCGGCTCCCCGTCGGCCTTCGTCTAGGGCCCGAACAGCAGCGGCGGTCCCGTTCGTGTTCTAGCAGCGGGGTCAGGCCCTTCCCGGCGAGACGCGAGTGAGTAGTAGCAGCCCTCCCGATCAGCGAGGCCAAAATGAGACCGAGCGTATCGAGCCCTGAGTCCGAAATTCCGTTTATAGAAACCGAGAATGCAGAGAACCCCAATAGTAACCCCGTAGAGCCGAGCCCTTCACCTTTGTTCCTTGTTCTCTCGTATGGTGAACAGTAAGTGGTGGCTATCTCTTGTCTTTTGATGATATGTGTCGATTATATGTGTATATGTGATTAACGAATATATATTCAAATGCCTATGATGTTTTTATGTGTTTAATATGTAATTGTGTGTAGACGAACTCCTCGATTCTGTGAAATTGAAGAGACCTCGTCTATTCGTGATATAGTCGTTGTGGATTGGAACGTTATATCGTCCTTGGTCTTATGGTGAAGACTTCGGACGATTTTGTCGTGAATCGAGTCTTACATGAATTATCGAAATTGAATAGTGGCTGATTTCATATTAAATTTATTATAAATTGCTCGCTGGTCCGTTTGCCTTGAAATTTTGAGGGTAATTTCCTCTGTTGAAAATGTAGCTGGTGGGGTGCATTATTTATTTAAAAAAAAATATAAAATATGTGGCAACAAATAAAAATAAAAAAAAAAAAGTTGTGGAAGAGAATAAAACGGCCGGATTTTGAAAATTCGTTTTTTAACAAAAATTTTATTAGAAAAACGGATTACCATATCCGTTTTATTTTTGATTTATTTATTTTTTTTAAAAAAAGAAAACAGTTGAATTTAATAATAATAATACATCTACTGTATAACACGGATTTTCAAAATCCGTTTTTAATTAAAAAGAACGATTAAAACGGGTTTTGGAAATCCCTTTTTTGATTGTTAAAAATGTCTGCGAAACAGAATCATTCATTTCATTTCTCCTCTCCCTTTCCCCTTCTTATCTTATCTTCCCAATCGTTTTTTGCTCGATTTTTTGGCAAATTGAAGCTGCATAGAAAAAAAAAAAACAAATTTTCAACCAATCGTCGAAGAAGAGGTTAGTTGTTATTTTAATATAATGTAATATTATTTTTTGGTTGTTTATGAATGTTTAAGAGATATATTTGGTTAATTGAGTATTGTTTAGAAAATCATGAATGTTGGTTTAATGTATGTTGAATATTTATCCGAATTGTTTATGAATTTGATGTTATTGTTGGATTATGGTGATTAGGGTTTTGGTGGTGTTTTTGATAAATTAATTGACAATTTTTTTTGTCGGAGTAAAAATATGATTAATTATATGTTGTTGTTGGAAATGAGTTTTAAATGTAGATTGGTAAAATAATAATTGAAATTTTATCGGGTGTTTGATTAGCTATTTTGTGTTGTTGTAATTTGTAAAATAGAAATTTTTTTGTGCAACAGGTTAGAAATGGCATCTAATGGTCTCTATTTTGATAATGTGTACTGGAAAATTCCCCAGAGTGAGTTATGGAATTTTTCTAATTATATGTCTCGTCTGGATTGTTCATTTGTTATTAATGGAATAATATCATATGAACAATTGGTAGATATGATTTACGAAAATGGTAGGTTTCGTGATAGTTGGACAATTTCGGATATTACTTTGATGGCCAGACAACGGGATGGTTCGTTTATTCCTAGAAGACTGAATAATGATAGTGCTCTTTCGTGGATTTACTACTTTTCTCCGATGTCCTATGTATTTTTGTATATAGTGTTGGAAGCAAACACACAGGTTACACAGGTTGAGGATCCTACGCCATCATATGGTTATGAGAGAATGTTTGGTGGTGAGGGTACGTGGATTACGCATGCCGGTAATTTTGGTAAAGGGACGAGTAATTTCGGCGAAGGAACAAGCTTTATAATGAGAGGACCGGACATTGAGGAAGAAATTTTGGAGATGAAGATTTCATTCTCGGTGAAGACGATATCACTGATGAGACCTCGAAAACCGAATCGAACAGATCAATTAATGAGGAGAGCGAACAAGAATTCATTGAAGAACACCCTTTCCAAATGAAGCCCTCTACGATTATCGCGAGATGGGTGAGTGGGACTCGTCGTGTGTAGACAGGGACGAGTATGCCTTGCCAACCTGGAATGGGCATGTCGAGACTATCCGTTTGGGTACATTTTTCGTACCAAGGAAGAAGCCCGGACTGGTATTCTGGCCTGCAATGTTGAGAATCTTAGGGCGGTCAGGACAAAAGATTCCAACACGATGTCGTTCAAAGTTGTGTGCAGATCAGCTGAAGTTGTACCATGTATATGGAAGGCTCGGGTGAGTCTTAACAAACGGGATCACGACATGTGAGAGGTAACCGAATGGACCGATAGCCACACTTGCATGTAGGTGTTCGAGAGAAATGACCACAAGAATGTGACCGCCACCATGATTTCAAATCTTCTGTTGGCTAAGATTCAGAAGCAGGTGACCTACAGTGTGAAAATGGTCCAGGCCGCCGTAAAAAGTGCCTGGGGCGTCGATGTCAGCTACAAGAAGGCGTGGCACGAGAGAAAAAAAATCATCGATCGTCTGCATAGCACGTGGGAATCGAACTTCGCACAACTCCCCCAGTAACCAAAAATTAATTATAAACGTATTTACGTGTTGTTTGTAACTATATTTATTTATGTATTTATTTATTTATGGTTACCTTTTATAATTTGCAGGTTTTTCGCCGCCCTTCAAAGGGCGAATCCCGGTACAATCGTTGAGTGGGAATGGCAGGGTGGGGAAATGGCGAAGCAATCTCGAGACAGAAAATTCATATTTGTTTTCTGGGCGTTCGGCCCCGCCATTCAAACCTTCCTTCGTTGCCCGTCAATTATTAGCATCGACGGCACGCACCTGCGAGGTTCGTACAAGGGGAAACTACTTGTTAATTGCGAATTAATATTTTATTTTCTATTTTACAATAGTGTCTGATAATAAAAACATATGTCCAACTGAGCAGGTTCGTACAAGGGGAAGCTGCTTGTTGCCATAGCACAGACCGCGAATAAGCGTCTATTGTCAGTCGCGTATGCGATTGTGGACGAAGAAAGCACAGCTAGCTGGTCCTTTTTCCTAACACAAACCCCATGCATTTCATCGGATATGCGTTCGACACCTCCGGAGCAACGTGTTTTCAAGGTACCGGAATAAGAAGTCCAGGGTTTGTGTTGGAGTTTGGGTTCACTGTGTTCTCGCCGCAAATTTGAGCAGAGTCGACAGGAAATCCATGAATGTAACCCGGACGCATACGATTACCTTTTAAAAATTCCTTTGGAAAAGTGGACCCTGTACAAAGATAGAGGAGGTCGATGGGGCACTCTGACAACCAATATGTCAGAGAGTTACAATAACATCCTCAAAGGTGTTAGGTTCCTGCCCTGCAGAGCGTTGGTACAGGCCACAATGAATAAGACTATGCATTTGTTTGAACAGGAACAAAAGAAGTCCAGAGGATGCAGGAGTCCCATTCCTATCGACCTCTATGCGCCTATCGGGTGTTGGATAAGACGGCGGTGACTCACGAGGTGCGATGTGTGGACGCCGACGGATCCCAGTACATGGTGACAACCGATCTACGCGCTAATGGAAGAGGGCAAAACAAGTATGTATTTTTTAATTTTAATTTTTTTTTTCCATTCAAATGAGTTTTTTTTTAATTTAAATATATAAATCATTGTGGAAAACAGGTTTAAGGTTGATTATCAGCAGCAGCGTTGTGCATGTAGGAAGTGGCAGACACATCGGAAGCCATGCTCTCATGCATTGGCCGTGTGTCGTCACCGGGGTGATCAACCGAACTTGTTGTACGATTCCTACTTTTGGACGGAGAACTGGGTTGCTCAATTTTCTAATTGGAATTTTGCTCCAATTGGAAATCCTGACACATGCCCGCAGGTGGGATGGAATTTGATTCCGCATTGGCAGAGGATCATCTCGAAGCCTGGACCCGGTCGCGCCCAAACGAGACGCTTTAAAATGCAAATAGATCGTCGGGCGCGCCGCAGAAGAGTCCGGGATCAATGCACTAGATATGGTGATCCCGAACTTTTATCAGACCATTGCCCGTATTCGCATCCTCCCACCGATCGAACTAGACTCCGTGATGATTGGGGGAACTAGATTTTTTAGATGAATAATTTGTATTTGGATGATTTATAGCGTAATCGAACTCGAATTAGTACAATTGAAGTCAAATTAGTACAATTGAAGTCAATTATAGTGTAATCGAACTCAAATTAGTACAATTGAAGTCAATTATAGTGTAATCGAACTAAAATTAGTACAATTGAAGTCAAATTATAGTACAATCGAACTCGAATAGTACAATTGAAGTCAAATTAGTACAATTGAAGTCAATTATAGTGTAATCGAACTTAAATTAATACAATTGAAGTCAAATTAGTACAATTGAAGTCGATTATAGTCAAATTGAAGTCAAATTAGTACAATTGAAGTCAAATTATAGTGTAATCGAACTCGAATTAGTACAATTGAAGTCAAATTAGTACAATCTCGGTCAATTATAGTGTAATCGAACTCTAATTAGTCCAATTGAACATATAGTATATCGTATATAATATATAACATATAACATATAGTATATATAACATATAACATATAGTATATAACATATAGTATAAAACATAACTATATAGTATATAACATATAACATATAACATATAGTATATAACATACAATATATAACAATTATTTTTTTTGTATACACGGATTCTCAGAATCCGTGTTTAGTTTTTTAACAATTAAAATGGATTCTCAGAATCCGTGTTGCCTTTCAAAAACTAAAACGGATTCTGAGAATCCGTTTTATATTT